AACTGGGTTCTTGAAGGAGGAGGATTTTGTGTTGATGAGAGGAGAGGGACGAGCCCCCCGCCCTTGCCCTGGCGGCGCTCCCCCTCCTCCCCATCGCACCAAGGATGACCACGCTCTTGTACAGCCACGCCGTCCTTGTCGGTCATGACACCCCTGTCCTCTCCCTCGCCTACTCCAGCCACCTGGATCTGTGCGCCTCGGGGGCCCGGGACGGCAGCGTGGTGGTGCACCGGGTTCAAAAAGCCAGGTTTGTCCGCAGGCTCATGTATCCGGGTCGGCACCCCGTGGACCGCCTGCATTTGTGCGCCGAAACCGGCGTCCTCACTATGCACTCGCATGCCGACGCCGGGCTCGCGGCCTTTTCCCTGAACGGATTCCCGCTTGCCCGGCTTCCTCAGGGGAAAGAACGACTGTCCGCGTTGTTGGCCAGCAAGGACGGGCAGTTTTTGTTGACGGGCGGGGAGGAAGGGGTGCTTTCCGTGCGGCAGGGGCACAGCTTGAAGCTCTTGCACACATTGCGGGTAGGCCATGGCCCCATCACCTCGCTGGCTTTCACGCCGGACCACCAGTATATCCTGGTGGGGTGCGAAGACGGGAGCTTTTCCGTCGTGGCCGACCCTCTGAGTCGGTTGCAGATGTTGCATCGTGTATTAAGCCGGACGTTTTTTGGAGTGATATAAAGCATGAGGGACATCGAAAGGACAAACGGACGGAGCAAGCTGTGCAGGCTCCACCATTGCATTGTACGAAAGTAAAGCATTTGTGCAGGTATGTAATCTTCCACATAAAGAAAAGCATTGTTTTGATAAATAACATGAGAATAGGTATTTTCCCATCGTTTTTTTTGCCATCGGTGCTAAGATTGCCTCAAAGTTCACGATGATTACATCATTGTCTGCCATCCAACGCACACATGTCCCTTCGTCACCATTTTCAGATACTGTGCTCATACAGCAAAGGGCTTAAACTTTGATTCGAGAATGTCCTTGAGCTCCGATGAACCGATTTGGCGTTCTCATCCCCCGAAAGCTTATACTGAGTGTATGGACGAAGCTCAATGTCGGATGGCACTTGGCAGCTATGCAACCGGGCAGTCCCGAAAAATGACTGGAATCCACGTATCACGTCATTTCTGTACATAATCTGCACTTTAAAAACGGTTTGCATTGTTCAATTATGAAATGATCCATCATAATTAGAAAGGAAGGCCGCCCTAGTCCTTCTCGCGCCTTCTGGCTTGAAGCAAGCAAGGCACTGACTAGAAGTTGCTCTTTTTATTTGAGCTGAATTGTGGTCACCGTCCCTGTGCGGCAGATTGTGACGGGTTGGGCTATCGCATTTTCATCCGGTACATACGTGCATATGTGCAATTGGCATGTTATTTTTATTTTGGCATGACTAGCATTGGCTGTGTTGTACCGACGGCGGGACCTCCCCGCTGCGGCACAGATAGTACCGTCATGCTTGCTTTATGCGCTACCAGCTGAAAAATATGCATTTCGTTCCTTGTTATTTCTCGCTACTATTCTACTTCAGGAGCGGTGAAGTGGTGAGGCATCCCTTCCCACGAAGCACTAGTGGTATGGATGGAAAGGCAAACAAAGACTCAACGGAGCTATGTCGTCGGCGAAAGGAAGAACAATTGGGTCAGGACAGAGCGCGTGATAAAGAAGCCGCAGAAAACGGGGATGCACTGGGAGAAGAGGAGGAGATATTGGTGATGGTAGACTTGCCTGAATACGCTGGCGTTGCTTTATTCGAAGAGGCGGAGTCCATTGAGATCAAGGTAGGAGGGGAGGACGGAGTTGGGTAGTATGAAAATAGGTTATATTCAGTGGTGTGGTTCGACCACATCAGCACACACCTCCTCATCTGGGTGATTTCCTGTCCTCTATGTTGTATATGCCTCGTCTCTAAGAACTGTGCATCGAGGAGTGAGCCGTCTTCATCAAACCCATCAGACTCCTCGACAGATTTCTGCTTCTTTCTTTCCTTAATTTCCTTTTCTTTGGGTTCCCGTGTTCTCCTAGGATTGCGCCCAATGCTTTTTCGCCCTGTCCCACCTATCCCCCCACGCTCCCGTAGTTCAATCCTCCCGTTGCCTCCCTCCTCCACTTCTATCACAGAATATTGCAGGACCCGGCGCTCCCGAATTGGTTGTGAATGGCGTTCGCAATTTCAAAGGCCACTACGAAGATCCGCTGGGCTCGAGCTTGATCGTAAATGACCACCGCATCGACCATACCTGCATTCGGCAGGGCGCGCGAAAAAAGGGGCGGCCACGGAGTGAGAGCTTGGAGGAAGAATTGCGAGAGAAGGAGAAGAACTTCACTGGCGAGGGGCTAGGAGGGAAGGAAATTTGCGGGGAAGAAGTGGGAAATGACGGGCGAAGAAGTTGGAAGGGTGCTAGGAGGGAGTTATGGAACGGGAGGGATAGAGGCAAAGAAAGGGTGGAGAGGAATTGTGAGGGAACGGGAGAGAGGGACGATGGTGGCAGGAAAGAGCAGGGGGAAATGGAGCCTGCAGCACTTTCAATAGCTTCGAAGGTCTTGGTATTTTTGGAGGAGAGACACAGCAGAGGCAGCGCATTGATGGATCAGGATGGGATGTCAAGGAGGCGGGAGCGGAAAGGAGCTTGGGATACGAGAGGTGAACAGGGAAACGAAAGAGATGGGACAGAGGAGGAAGAAGTGGGAAGAGAAGAGGAGGACGAGGAGGGGAGAGAGGAAGAGGAGGCCGGGGGGGAGGCGGAGGATGAAGAAGAAGATGATGAAGACTACGATGATGAAGAAGACAATGAAGACAATGAAGACGATGATGACGACGACGAAGATGGAGAGGTGGCTGAGGAGGAGGAGGACGAGGACGACTAGGAAGACGCGTCAACAGGTATAGGTGCAGACAACGCGAGAAACCCATGTATATATGTATGTTAAAGGTAACATCTCCACCCTGCATATGTCACGTCATTTACTGACGCCAACAAAAGGAATTGCTTGCATTGACGAACATTACTACAATTGGACCTACATCCATCCAGCTTTGTAAACCTGCAAGCTTGGAGATTACTTTTTAACTTGCAGCAAATCATAGTGGGAGAGGAGGTTAGTAATGCAATATAGCAATTTATCAACTGTCGTCTTGCCCGGCCATTGTATCATAATGACGCAGTGTGGTAGCTGCGGTACCTGCGCCTTCCTATTGTTACTTTGGGGCTGAGCATCCTTGCTATAAACGTGCTTGGCCGAAATTAAATTTGAATTTTACAATTTAAACTAAGAGTCCCAAGACAGCTCGAAAACAAACCCACTCATGCATTAAAGATACAGGCCAATTCTGGGCATATTTCTGATCATGTTCTTCATGGAATAAGCAGCAAATAAATTTAGGAGCCCGCAGGCAAGGGTTCCACGAAATATCAAGGTCTTTCGTCCCCCGGCATATTCGTTGCCGAGGAGGGGTACTAAAGGCGACAAAATGGACGGAGGCAGCCGAGCAAGCCATCGCGTTCATGGACCAACTACTAGCACTCCTGAATACAAAGTCAAGCATAATAAATCAAGTCATGTACGCGGCATTTTATTGAATAGTCGAGCTCTTAAACTCTTGCTCTTTTTTCTAGGCTTCTTGTATGTAGGAGTCATCTTCTACTGTCGTTCCTTACTGCACGAGCGGGACGATGCATTTAAGAGCGAGAAATTGAAGTGGTCGAATGAACTTTATCGCCTACATGACCAGAGGAGTGAAGAACTGGCGCGGTCGAGAAAAGCGCTGACAGAAATGGAAAAGGTTCTTGAGCAGAAAGATGAGGCCTTGACCAAAGCAGAACAAAGACTCACTGCCATGCGCAACACTGCGGAGCGCCTCGATGAAAATCAGCTCATTCAAAGCCTGCGTGACCAGAATCTTCTCTTCAACCACCTGCGATGGGGAGAAGGACCGGTGCGCGTGTTGCTGGAGCTAGGAGGCAGCCCAGGCACGGTCGAGGAGGCGGAGGAAGTGGAGTTCGAGTTAGCGCCGTTCGAACTGCTTCCACACGTGACACATTGGTTCTTGACCCTGGTTGAGACTGGCTTTTGGGATGGCTGCCACTTGATTCGGAACGCTCCGCATGTCCTGCAATTCAACTGTCGAGGGCGTACTGCAGTATCAGGGAACCCCTCCCTTCTTGCCCGCGTCCCTGGCGCCGAGCACGGGCGAATCACTGGTCGCAAGAGCATTGTTTTCCAGGAATTTGCCCCGGATTTCAACCACTTGCCTTTTACACTGGGCGTGGCAGGGCGCCCGGGCGGCGAGGACTTTTATGTCAACCTGGTGGATAACACAAGGAATCATGGACCGGGAGGGCAAGGGCCCGAGCCCGATCCTTGCTTCGCGGAGGTGGTGAAAGGAAAGGACGTTCTGGAGAAAGTGCATCAAAAGTTGACAACTGGGTTCTTGAAGGAGGAGGATTTTGTGTTGATTCGTAGGATGCTGATAAAAGGGGAAGAGAAGGGAACTTAGCACGGGGCGAAAATAAGTCCTTCGCATCCACACATCCCTTGACTACGAAGCACGAGGGCATTTCATCGGTTGTAAAATAAGAGAGAACAGAAGTCGTGGAAACCTACGTCTCGGGTGTGCGCCACCTTGTTTTCAGGACACTTATAAACTGCACCTCTCGATTTACACTACGCTGCGAGACAGCGTCTATGGCCATCTCGCGCCATTCGTTCTCTCCTCTCATGTGTTCTTCCAAGCCACCCGTCCCCATCTACGCGTGACGGGAGTATGCAAAGGCACATTGGTTGATCCTCATGTGGCTTCTGCCCCATTCATATGAATCTGAATGAATGAGACTTCCAATTTTTTTAATAAACTAAGTGGTTATTGGTGACATATCATCGGGAGAATAAAAGGACCAAAAATAAGTCCCATTCCTTCCATAAAAGGCCTCAGTTTCCTCTACCTCTCTCACTAAACCAGTATCTTGAGTGCTCTATTCAAATCAGCGACGTGAATCTAAGCTCTCCCGAGAATATGCGTCCATAACATACTGCATAGCTCTAGCATACCTCCGCCATCCGTATCAGTATTCCTGAAAAGGATTTTGAATTGCTATTCTAAGAATGCTGCTTTCACGTCGTGGAAACCCTGTACATCTTTCTCTCCATCCACCATTCTCTCCCGGCCCTTCACTATTGTGGTTTCTCATACATCCATGAAGAAAGCCAAACTCAAGGCATCCTTCCCTTTCCTCCATCCCCACGGTCACTCCACGTCCATCGACGGCTCCGATGCTCTGCTCCAAGGGCCCTCCATCGCTTCTTTGGCAGTTTCTTTACCACCCCCGCTGCCACCGCTGCCGTCGCTTCTGCCGCTACTGCCGCTACTACCGCTACTGCTGTTACAATTGTCCATACTGTTGTTGCTGCTCCCGCTCCGGAAAGTCGTTACCGGCATTTTGGCTGATCCGTGAGGCGCTCCCAGAGGTCCGTTGTCATCGGAGGAGGAGAAGCTTCCCTCGTCGCTCCCATGGCTCCCCCCGCCCTGGCTGCTTTCAAAGCTGTTGGTGTCATTGTCGCCCGTTGCCCCCTTCTTGCTTGGGGCCGTCTCCGTGTCGTTGGAGGAGACGCACAGGGCTGAAAGGGACGAGGTGGAGGAAGAAGAGGAGGAGGACGTGGTAGCGGAGGCGGAGGAAGAGGAAACTGGCCGTGAAGATCCCATGATGGCAATCTCGGCGCGATTTGTATTGATATCGTCCTGAATGGTATGGCGACGGTGCACGTGCATTCCCCAGGAGTGATTGTGTCCTGCTCTTTCCTTCCCATCGTGGAAGCGGATAGACCACACGCATTCCGCCTCCGGCCCCGATGAATTCTGCGTCACCTCTGCTGCTCCCTGGCCGTCCAGTGTGACCACACCGTTGATGTCACCGAACCGGGCTCCCCCGTTTTGGGTTTTGAACGTCACGTTGGCGATCTGAAACATAAACTCGTTGGACGCAGGGTGGCCTGCGGGCAGGATCTGGGCAATGTTGCTGTTCGTGGACGAACCCGGTTCCCGTGACGTGAAGGTTTGACTGGAGCTCGTACCAGGGCTATTGGAAGAGGAGCCGGAGGGCTCGGAGGCATCCTCCCGGCCTTGGATGGCTGGAAGGGCGCAAGGAACCTGGGCAAGCTCCCACACGTCGCGTGTCAAGACCCTCCCCCCGGCCGTGGGAATGGAAACGGTCGCCTTTCCGCCCAGCCCAATCCCCGAGACACCGGCCACAGACGTTTTCCGGGGCGTCCCCGTCGTAGCAAGGCCCGGTGGCCTCTTCTCGGAGGAAGGGAGGCCTGCGCACGTCCCTTCCTTGTCCTGTGCGTCTTGTCCGTGTGCGCGTCGTCTCCCGGTAATCCCCGGCTTGGTGTTGCCGCCACTGCTCCCTTTACGCTCGGAGGCCCCCGCCTTATCCGCCATGACCGCCGCGGCCGCAACGGCAGCCTTGGTCCGACGGCTTCCCCCTCCTTTCAGAGGGGGAGGCTCCCGCTCATCCACGTGGCCGACACAAGAATCCATGGAGGAAGCCTCTCCGTCGTCCTCCTCGCCATCCTCTTCGTCCCCGTCCGCGTCCCGCCGGTACCCCTTGGCCAACTCTGCCATGGCTGCTGCCACCTCCAAGCCTGCGGACGCTTCCTCGGTCAGATTACGACCCTGGTTTAGGGCGCGGGCCGTCTGGCTGCGATGCTTTTCCTCTGTTCCTTTATTTCTTCCCACATTTGGCCGGGACGAATCTCCATTCACCGGGTCGTAAAGGTTTGCGGGCCCGTTCGATTCGGTAGATTCCGATGCAGCTTCCTCGGAAGAAGATTTGTCTCCTGATTTGCCACTGCTGTGGTCACTGTGGGCGTCGGTGCCGGAAAAAGTCGCGGGGCAGGACGGCGAAGAGGAAAACGAAGACGATGCCGTGGAAGCCTGTGACCTCTTGGCGTCCGCTCCTTCTCTGCCCGTCACCCTTTCCCCACTCCCCTCCTCCGAGACCTCCGAGAGGGCTGTCTCCCACGAACGCGTGAACCCAGGATCCTCAGCTTTGTTCCCATTGCTGGCCCCTTCTAAAATGTCCCGCCCCTCCTCCCTGGCATCCCGACGACTGGAGCTGGCCTCTTTGATCGCGGCCTGCCAGTCCATCACCAATTGCGACATTAAACGCTGAACACGCGTCTTGCTCTCCGGCACCAGGAGGTCATAGACACAACGACCCCGCAAGCTCGGGGAAGGCCAACCCAGCACCTGCTTCGTGCCGTGGGCGGAGATCACCTCCCCGGACGAGTATTCGAACTCGATGCACGTGGAACCTAAGCCATCAAGAATGGCGGCATGTGTCGAGAACAACTTGTTGGCTTCGATCAAGTCCTCCACCAAGTCACGCTTCCGTTTCCGACAGCGCTGGGCCGACTCCCGATTCAGCGCCCGCTTGAAGCGCTTCTTCTCGTCCTCCTTGCTCAGCACAGGGAGAGAAAAAGACTCGCCCGGGAAGGAAGGAGGAGGATGCGATCGATGCTCGCGTTGGAGCAGGTAAGGAGCGTACACCTTGGAAAGGGTGGCTGGGTGGGGGATGCTCGAGAGGGTCGGTCCCTTGTATGGAGACAGTGCATGCGAGTAAGCTGGATGGGATGGATGATGATGGTGGTGGTAGTGGTTGGGGTGGGGATGTTGCAGGTGCACACGGCTCTCCTCCACGCCATTGTACTGATAGTCAATCCCACCAGGCCTGCTTGCTTCCCCTACACCCTTGCTCGCGCCCGTGGCCAAGGCCAGGGTAGGTTGAAAAGAGCGAGAAGAGTGGTGGCATGTATGCGAGTAGATGGGCTGAGCATGGGCCTGGTGGTGGTGGGAGAGGCTAGACATGGTCCCCGGGTGGGGCGGTAGGGGAGCAGAGGTAGACGACAAAACCGACGCCCGAGGCAAGCTGGAAGGGGGAGAATGCGCGTAGTCCGGATGAAAGACTGTGGCTTTCTGATCTCCAGTCATGAAGGCCTGCAAACGCATGAAATCCGTTATGCTTTGGGGGGTAAGCTCCCCGCGCTGATCTCGCGCCGGAAGATGTCCCTGGTCAGCACGCGTGCGGCCATCCCCACTGCCCTTGATCGCTCTTTCTGGTGGCAAGTCCCGAACACCCCCTCCTGGATGCACGGACGCGTACAGATTTCTTGGTAAAGCCTGCTGTGAACTTATGTTCACGTCCTGTTCGTGTGGCACTGAGCTTTGGACTGCGCTCAACCCGGCGCTACGGTCGTTCCCATTAAGCGAATGTAGATGAGCTGTCCTAGCGGCTGTGCCCGCCTCCGCGTAATACTGACCCGGCCGGAAGGCATTGCTCGAGGAATGAGGCTGGCAAGACTTCGAATTAGGTGCAATAGAATGTGAGCAACTCCCGGAGGGCGGAGCCCCTTGTCCCGTCACATCAGGATTCGGGACGTACATGGCGCGAGACGTCACAGGCCGGGGTAATAAAGGTACGACATTCGCACGCCCTGTTCCCTGCAGTGCTGGAGTGGTCAGTGTCTTCCTATCTGTCGCCTCTCGGTTGCGTTCTGGTTCATCGGTGCCCGTCCTGGCAAGCGATGCACTCGACGTGGCGGGGGGAGGCCGCGAAGGCTCTGTACCCGCATCACCACCCTTACTCCCTGGTTGACGTTCTTGCCGCATGGGTGTCTTATGTCAAATCTGGCTCATGCCTTGTATAAATGTCCTTTTCTAGTTCGGTATATTCACGCTGTGGCCGCGGCTCCGCTTCCAGGCCCTCCAGTATGCCTGTCACGAGGAAAAAAGTATGAAAACGCGATATATACCAGGCACGAACGGTGCGCAAATCTATTCCACTTTTGTGTAAAATATCAGGAGGACATATAATTTCCAAAAATACGCGTCGACTGTGGTGTGTGCATGCCAAAAGGTTTCATAACAGAGGATGAACGCACATGGGTATCGCTTGCTCTAAATACACCAAAACAAAATGTGGCGGAAGTAAGAAGCGCAAGCACATCATTTTCATAAAAATCCGTCATGTATTGCATGCAAAATTCTATACATGAGTCGGAGTATCAAATGGCAGGATAATGTGTCTTTATGAAGTTAACAAAGGCAAGCACCATTTGCTTCCGCGTGGCGCTTCCGGAAGACATGGTCGTAAAGATCATTTTCCTTTTTAGAAGGAGAGAACAGGGCAATCGCATGTATTCATCCTTCAAAGGTGATAAAAACTCATAGCCATGTCCCTGTGGGCGCAAACATCGTAATGTATGCAAGCAAGTGGCCTCTTGCACATCAAATCAGGGCTCACAACCCTCTGGGTCTAAGACGCATGCGTACCCCTCTGAAGCTAATAAGCCACATGACACATCAAACGACAACCGCAACCTCGTAACAACATGGAAGAAAGTACAGCCCACCCGCCCCTGATTTTTTCGCAATGATGTGCAAAATACACCACTTGTATTTACCCAACATGCGTGGGCTCATGGTGGGGGGAAGCCGGCAGTCTTGTTCAAGTTTTTCACAAGGGGGGGAATGCGCGGTGTCGAAAGAAGCTTGCTACGCCTTCTCCGCCCGAAGGTCAAGCCTGGTTTTTTTCCAGTTTTTGGATCCCGTTGCGAGCGGACACATGCAAAGGCCTTGAATCCTTCTCATACACTCCCTATGTACATGGTGATGTGCCATGTGCCGGTCGGTGTGCGACCATTTGTCATGGGGGAAACGCCTGTCTTTCTTACACGTGGCAGTCCGCAAGGGAGAAGAAATCCCAAAAGCCCGGATATCGCCAGGGGAAAAACACAACGTGAGGTCTGGGACGCCGACGGCCACAACGAAACAATGGCGATAAGCCTCCAACATATGCTTGTTGTACTTTTGACGATGAATGTAAATAGGGTTTGAGTGGCCCCTCATCCACCGTCTTATGTGACAATCTTCTATTCAATAGTAATCCACCTCCCGCCCATATGGCTTTCCTAAATTAAAAAAAAAGTGTCTCAATCTGATCAGCCATCTCCGGCCTCTTCACAAACTTACAGGAAGAATTCGATATGTCTGCAACACCTCATATCATAACACCGGCTCAAATACAGAGCAAGTTGACCGAAGCGTTGCAAGCAGTGTTTGTTGAAGCCAAAGATATGTCGGACGGTTGTAAGTGCTCTGCCCATCGTATGTGTGGAAATTGTCGGGTGGTTTCCGACGAACCGTGCGTGTTAATTTCATTTCTGAGATAAGCTATTACGCCATGTGTTTCCCGTGTAGGAAATAACATGTAGAATATCACAGTCATAGCTAGTTGAGTTTTTTTGATGACTTGAGGATGGTTCACATTTTCTTGGGATCCCCTGCTGCACTTCCCACAGGTGGAGCTAAATTTGAAATCCTCACAGTTTCTCCGACATTCGAAGGAAGACCTCTTCTACAACGGCACCGAGCTGTGAATGCGGCTCTTGCGAAAGAATTGGAGCACATACATGCCATCACTCTCAAGTGTCTCACCCCAACGCAATGGGACGAGACGAAGAAATGCTAACCGGACACGTAAGAAGAGCGATACACGCAACCAAGTGGATAGTACAAAATGGCTGACAAGTTGCATGATCTCAATCAGATTGTTTCTTCTTCTTTCGATCCGCTCTCTGCTCCTTCCGGCCGTCCACCCCTTGACTATCATGAGCTTGTCTCTTTGTACCGAGCAACGTTCTTTGCTCTTCTTGGGATAATAATCCTGTAATACAAAAATTAAGTCCAATTAATCTTCTTTGGTCATCAAATCGTCAAGAGCTTTGGTCCCATGCGGGAAACGAGAACGATTGCATCCTCTATAACTCACCTAAAGCCTCCGCACGGTTAAGACACCACAACGCTCGTCCGACTTCTTCAGCATCCAAAGGCCTTGCAGTTCCTGACTTTGCCTTTTCCCCGGGTACATTAATCTCGCGACATTTTCCAATAATTGCCCTTTGAAAGACCAAGTACTCAGCTAGGTTGTATTTCAGCTTCCCATTCTGGCCACTTTCGTCCAAAACAAGCATGGTTGGCTCGTCCGCCATGAAGGGAAATAAGTCGGGGCGATAGGCCGCTAGAAGAGCCGAAGCGGTCGCCGGCCCAACGCCTTTGAGTTCTGCCCCAGAGAAAATCGTCACCGCGTTTGAAATGTCACCTTTTTGTGCCGCTATCAGGGCTGAACGGCTGATGCGTTCCACGGTACCAGAGTCGTTTCCCCTGACCAGGTTCATCAACGGCCGCATCTTTCCCCGTGCAAGCTTCCATTGCATGGTTTGAACAAGTTCTTCTTTCGTTATCCAGCAATCATTTCCTTTGTTTTCAGACTGGCGTCTTTGAAGTGTTGCGGGAAAGGTTTTCCGCCAAAAATTGTCGAGCTTTACCAATTCTTTTTTGCCAGCTCTCTCCATGGCTACGATGCACGCCTGATAGTGCGCATCGATCGCATCTCGAAAATCTGACGCACTTGACGCAGTTTTCCACAAGCGTAAGGCCGTAATACCATTCTCCATGGGCATTGAGATTCCGGGAAAGGCGCTCTTCCTGTCCCAAAAAGTCGGAATCGCTCAAGCAAGCTCTTGGGAGACAAGGACACAGGTTTGGCGTAAGCGTTTCAGGTTCAACGTCAAGCGCGACGCGCAGCTCGAGGTACTCACACCGTGTTGGACTAAGACCTGTAAAATTGTCGTTGATATGGTAAGGGTCCAAAATGGATTTGGACCGTAAAACTCGAAAATGTTTGAGTTTTTGGAAAGCTAACGATAGTAGGCAACCTCCCCGTATAACCTACAAGCCGCCCTTGCTATTGATATCTAACGAGCGTATACGTGCTATTCATGCGCAAGCACATACATTATTGATATAGCTTGATACTTCTGGCTTCTTAAACTATCGGTGTTGCAAAAAAGCTTTTCCCTTAGCTTTCACAGGGATGGATGCCTCCGCAACCAGTTCGCCTCCTCCATCATCTTTTCTTGACCGTCACCGTAAGCAGCTTGAATCGGTAGGCTTTCCACCAACACTGTACTCCCGCCTGGAGTCAAAGCTTGTGGGGGAGACTTTTGATGCGGGAGACACCTTTGGGGTCGTGGAGGATGAGTCTCAAAGACGTGCAGTGGTATGTAGTGCTGCCAACGGGCTGGAGCCGCAGTGCGACGTCTGGTTAATCGACCACTTGTACTCCTTTCAAGTTGAGACCTACCGCCAGGACCTCCAAAAGCGTCCTGAGCTGCTTTCCCGGCTGGCAGTCATGATGGGCTTGGAGGAACCACACGAGGACGGGATCTTCGAGGAGGAAACTCCTGAGACCAGTATGGAAAAAAATCCCATCCCTCCCCTTGCTTCCGTCCCTACGCCAGGGCTTCGAGCGGAAAAAAGGCCAGACAGCTTAAATCTGAACGAGGAAACGCTTTGTCTGCGCCGACCACACCGGCGGGAGAGGCCCACATTGTACGAACAGGTTTGCGAACAGATCTGGCGCTACGTCTCTTCCTACCGGCTGGTGGACCCCGGGGACCCATTCAAATTCAAAACCGTGTGGTTCGTCAAGGACGAGTTCGGCTCTGCATTTCAGCACGCACCTCCGGCGCTGGTGAATTTTCGCATCTCTCCCTTTATATATTTCCCACCGACGGGGAGCCTGAAAGGGGCCATGGGCTACTCTTTGGCTTGGCCCATCGCGAACATTGCGGAGGGCGAGGAATGCACACACGACTACGCGTTTGGCTGCGCCGATGTGCGCGACAATTCCATCACCCAGGAAGAAAAATTCTTAAGGTGGATGAAACGGGCATGCAGGCTAGCTGTGTGGTTCGAGTTGCCTTTGTCCGTTCGCGCCATTTTCGAGGCCGCTCACGCAGAGAGAAAGCAGCTTTTCCTCTCCTTGGCTGTGTCGGTCAATGCTGCCTCGAAGCCCGTTGCGGATCCATCCACCGCACTTGCCGCGCACTTCAGCCGCTCTTGGCGGCATTCGCCACTGGTCTTGAGGGTGTACAACGATAACGGCCAGGTTCTCCGGCATTTGAGCCGCGCAGACGTCCAGCGGGCGGCAGAGCCCGCCGAGGCCGACGTACTCTGGGTTTACCACACGGCCATTACTCCCCACTACCGACGCAGGCATGGGCTGGGATTGGACGTGGTGGTGAGCCAGACGGGGGGCGACGAGTGTCTGGTCTTCAAACATCTGCTACCCCTGACGGCCACTCGGGCTCCCGGCAGCCAGGCCTGGCTCCCTGATACGTACAATATGGAAACGGAGACTGCGGCATTCATCCACGAGTACTCTCGACGGAGCGATGAGGCACACAGGAGCGGGGAAGGGGCCGAGCACCCACCCCACGCCCAGGAGCACGGTCCGAGCACTCCCCTGTCCCCTCTCTTCATTCTCAAACCGTGGAACCTGGGTCGGTCCATGGACTCCGCCGTTGCCGATTCCCTCCCTCAGGCTCTCCAACTGGCCAAGACATGCCCCAAAGTGGCCTCTCAGTATGTTTATGACATTGCGACCGTCAACGACAGAAAATTTGACGTGCGATACCGCCTTTTTGTGCGAGCATGGGAGCCGTTGGAGATTTTTCGGTGGGTGCACTGGGGCGTCCGTGTATCCAACCATCCCTACTCACTGGCAGCGGAAAACATCAATGATTTTCAGGTGCGTGGGCCATTTGGTCGGAAGAAATTAAGGGAGGGCAACGTCGGGAGGATGCTGTCGTGTGTTGCCCTGGCTTTGAGGTAACTGAGCGACGGAGGGGACGGCACGTTGCTGTCATAACACTGACAATCTTGGGTCCCGCCCTCTTGTTTTAGGCTCACTTCACAGTCATGGACTATGCCGGATACACGCAAACGCCCGTGTCGGAGACCGACTTTTTGGAAGCTTTCGAGCGGGACAATGGAGGCGTACCCTGGTCGGAGGTGGACTCCAAAGTCGAGAAAATCATCAAAAATCTTTTTGAAACTGCCGCCATTCTCATCCTGGAGCGGACAGGGAGAGAAGAAGTAGCGCAATCGTTTTCTTTTTACGGTGTGGATGTCATGGTTACCAAGGATTTGCAGCCCAAAATTTTGGAATGCACGTTCGGTCCAGATTGCGCATCCGCCCTCAAACTTGACGCAGACTTCTACAATAAGGCTTTCGGGATTATATTCCGAGGTGAGGAGTACGAGGATTTCCGACAACTGTAAAACTTCTGATGTTGCGCTTGAAAGCACATGCGTGTCTACGAAGGGAAGACTGACGATCAAACACATATTTACGAGAAAATCAAAACAAAATAGAAATAAATAAATTTAAATGAATGTGTCAAAATCCTTCGTTTCTTAATGTCAGCCCGGGAAAGCATGCCATTGAGTTTTCATAACATACCTCCTCTACATGGGCCAAGGTGGTGTCATGAATCCCAGCCAAGATCTGTGCCACACCCCGGATATGGCAGGGCTCGTTGCGGCCCTTGACGCACTTATCCCTTGACCACTTCTCCTTCTTGACCGTCTCAAACGTCGCAACCTCCGCAGACCCACCCGACGTCAAAAATTTGGTCCCTGCATGAGTGGGGCGTACATCGCACCAAGGTGCGTCTGTCTCAAGCAATGTCTTTTCCAAAGGGATGCTATTCTTGATCGTCATAAGCTGGTCCCCAGTTTTAAAGGAGCATCCATTTAGCCCTATATAAACCTTCTCCATGCTTAACAACGTCTGTGCTTCGGTGCAAGGCCCCGTAAATGAGTGCACTACACCTTGAGAAAACCTGTGCCGATGCTGTTGCAGTATGTGGACGAAGTCCTCCCCACAGTTTCGGTTATGGAGGAACATGGGTAACCCTGTCTCCTCAGCTAAGGTAAATTGGGCTTCAAACCCCTTCAGTTGCGTAGATTTCTCACAAAAATGCAAACGATCGTAGTCCAAACCGCACTCTCCAATGGCAACAACATTCCCTGTCTTTTGCCCATCTTTGATCAAGTCAAGGAGCTCGTCCATGTGTGCTGCCATTCCATCCTCAGCCTCCACCAATTCTTTGCAGCGAGTAGGATGGACGCCCACAGTGGCGAATAAACGGGGATCTTCGCTTGCCAGATTTAATGCTGTACGGGCCTCATTGGCTGTACCAGCTGTGATGATGATGTGGCTCAACCCCGCTTCCCATGCACGTGCTAGGACCCTGTCCAGGTCCGGCGGATGTTTCTGGCTCCCATTATACTTTCCTTGATACATGTGATCGGTTAGATTACAACCGATGTCAACAAAAGGCATGCTCAATACCAATAAATTATCAGGCCGTTGTCTGTCGTTCGGTGAGATGTGCTGCGAGATGAATGTCAAATGACAACTAGGAAATTGAGACCTCGGCTCCGAAGTAGGTCCAAGCCGGTCATGATAAAGACGATACTAGAGATGATTGCGATGCGATGCAAATAAAGAAAAAAATCTGCCATGGCCCACCTTTATACCCCCCC